ATAGGTCTGACAAAATCAATATTACAATGTTCAGAGTCGAAACGCTGCATAATTAATCCGGCGAACATTAATATTTCATCTGAAGTTGCCTTATTACGAGATATTGATGAAATTTCGATCGTCTGGCTATTTTCAATGATTTTGAGGAATGTGTGAATTATTTGATAACTCTACCAAACAAACATAATCGTGTTTTTCTCGTTGTATCTGGTGCATTAGGTGATGCACTTCTTGAACGTATTGAATTATTAGACACCATCGTCTGGGTATATGTATTTTGTAAAAATAAATCATTTCATACTGAATGGAGAAAAAAATATGCCAAAATCAGAGATATTTTCATAAAACAAGAACCACTTTTCTCTCAACTCTTACTTGATATGGCTAAATATTCAGCTCATTTAACACCCATGCGCATTTTTCAATCAGATGACAAACAAAAATCTATTCATGACTTGAGCAATCAAACAGTATCATTCATGTGGCTCCAGTTACTCATTCGAATTATACTTACTATGGAAAACAATCGTGACGATCGTGCTAAGGAAGATCTCATCGATGTCTGTCGAAAGCGTTACGAAGGCAATACAACCGAACAACAGCATATAACAGAATTTGGAAACAATTATAGATCAGGCCAGGTGATACATTGGTATACCAAAGATAGTTTTCTTTATTGTTCAGTGAGTAGAGCATTTCGTATGATAAACAATTTTTCATTTCATTAATGGAGGTGCAGGTGTTGGCAAAAGTACTTTAATTAAAGCAGTATGTCACTCAATACTCAGATTCTATGATTCACTTTCAGGATCTAATTCATAAACTATTCATGCTGCAATATGCGTACCAACAGGCAAATCAGCAGCATTAATTGACGGAATGACTTTGCATTCATTTTTAAGTTTACCAGTTAATCAATGCAAGCATAAACTCATTAAACTAAATAGCGATATTGCAAATAGGATTGAAGTGAAATTGAAAGACTTACAATTATTAATAATTGATGCACGCTTACAACAAATAATGAAGACCGAAAAACCATTTGGTGGAATATCACTCATAGTTTTGGACGATTTCAATCAACTAAGACCAGTTGGTGATAAATACATATTCCACTTTAACAATTCATATAATGCTTTAGTAGATAATCCATTATGGTCACTGTTTCAATTGTTCGAATTGACAGAAATAATGAGACAAAAATATGATAAGACTTTTGCCATGGCACTGAATAATCTAGCAAAAGAAATGATGACACTTGAAGATATTGATTTATTAAAGTCACGAATCATTTCAACTAACAAATTGGAGATAGCTGAAAATGCAATAAGAGTATTTAGAAGTAATGCTAAAGCTGAGACATATAGGGTGTGGGTGTGGGTGTGGGTGTGGATGTGGAGTGTGGGCGTGGGTGTGAGTGTGGGTGACTGTATTAGACAATACAACATTCACACCCACACTCAAACCCACATCCACACCCACATCCCTTGTTATTGTTATTTCTCCTCCTTTTTCTCTTGTTCTTCTTCTCCTCTCTATGGATATATATATATACCTAGTGATTTAAGGACATTTTTGAAGAGATTTAACATATGAAAGAATAAACAAAGTTAAGCTCGTTGAAACGAGCTAACAGACCTGCTAATAGGTATAACAAGGGTTTCAACGGCGTCTGATAGTTACGAACGTTTCCTAGTTAGCAATTTCCACTTAAGATATAAATAAACTAATCGCATTCTGGCATGCTTACCTGACGCATTAATAAAGTTGTTTTTCTGATGAATAAGCAGGAATGCTAGAGTTGAGACGAGAACGAAAAAAGAATGCATTATCAATTGAACTAGAAACAATGATTGATGAATGATATGACTTTTACAGACATTTTGCCTACTTGATTAGAACAAAATGACTCACTAGATGTTGAAGTATTTTTATGACGCACGTTGGATAAAACCTTTGAGCCCTTATCAGTTGTTTATACAGTTTATGGCTGTTGTTGGCTCCATGCAATGTAAGGTGATATGAAGAAAAAAAAATGTAGATAAGAAATAAACTTCAGTCTTGACAAGTGTTTGCATATGAAGATATTATTTCTTTATTTAATAAAAAAAGTATATTAGCACCTGTGAAGCAGAAGTTCAGAAGAAGGTTAGTCAAAAATACCCTGATCCACTATTGTGAAAATGGTAAACGATCGTATACTGATTATTATGATGACGTAAAAGACGAATGTACGACTGTATAAGAGCCGTAAATTAACTTTTGGTAGAGATCGTATTACCGTCGTATGTCGCCGTCTCGTACACGGGGAAACAATTATAACCAGGTCAATCATGCTCAATCCTACATGGCCGTATACCAATCAAAGGTGTGGGTGTGGGTGTAGGTGTGGGTGTGGTGGGTGTGGGTGTGGCGGATGTGGGTGTCGGTATGGGTGGGTGTGGGCGTGGGTGTGGGTATGGGTATGGGTGTAGGTGTGGGTGTGGGTGTGGGTGTGGGTGTGGGTGTGGGTGTGTGGGTGTGGGTGTGGGGTGTGGGATATGGGTGTCGGTGCGGGTGTGAATGTTGTATTGTCTAATACAGCCACTCACACCCACACCCCATACCCACACCCATACCCGCACTCACAGCCACACACCCGCACGCACACCCACACCCACACTCAGACACTCACACGCGCACCCTTTCCAGCTCGTGAAATTCACCCAATTCTAACCGATTGTACGTCAAGCAAACGAATCCAAAAATATCTTATTCACTGTTTTAGAGCGACAACAGATCTACCTCACACGAAACGCGCGAGAGTAGCTTGTAGACACCTTCATCCTCAAGAGTTTTGGACCGATGTTTGAATATGCAGTTATTCTTCTAACTGTAGAAAAAATTGGGTTGTTTAATTGGTATAGAAGCCGACCGCTTATTGGAAGATGCAGGTTCGATTTCTGATCTTTCTTAACAAGACTTTCGCCCTTGTTGAGGCATATTCATGTGGTTACATTCGCCTCAATTCACGCATGTATTTCCGTGAATATTTGGTATTATTACCGGGGGGGGGGGGATTGCTAATCGGCGAAAGACTTTTCAGCGGATAGAACACAGCGAAATGACTAAATGGCGAAAAATATTTAAGCGAAATGAACGATAAGCAAAAGAATAAATCAGCGAAAACTACAATAAGCGAATCTTTTTTCTGCGAAAAAATTCTCATAGCGAAAGTGCATTTGAGCGAATAGCGAAAACCAAAACAGCGAAATTTTTGATAGAGAAAAATTTCTTTTTAAACAGACGATAAAAATCGATAAGAATCAAGAAATAAAGAAACACATGAGATAGATATCAAGTAATATCCGTAAGACCAGATAAAAAAATAAACTACAGCTATGAGAAGTTCAATATGGTTTAGTAGAGCGTTTAGCAACAAGTGTAGATAGTGCATAGGCAAAGTCAATTAAAGTAATTTGTTCTTGTTTGTATCGTTCAGTTAGTATATGAATTTGCTTTCGACTAATACAGACTGTTCAGGTTCAGGTATATGACGATTGCTGATCATTACATTTACTGAAATGGTCACTTTTGTCTGTGTGAACATTAGCTACACAGCCATCCGAATGGCAAATCCAATACTTTACTTTCATCGTTGATTTTTTAAGCCGAAAAAATATATCCTGAATAAATTAGCAAAGGTTTGCCTCAATTTGAAGTGGTGAAAGAGATAAACGTTGAATCAGTCATGTTTACTAAGTTCAAGAAAATAATAAAATGGTGCGCGTAGTGTGGACTGACATCATGGACGAAAAAGAGATATACAAGAAAGAAAAAAAACATAGTCGAATAGCACGTTATTTGGTCAGAATAGAGAAAAATGGGTAAAAGGCGTGACTTTTGGACGCATTCCACATAATGAGTCATCATTACTGAAAGAGAATTTGAGCTATTGCAGGAAAAAATTTCGCTGAAAGTGCTTTCGCTATTTTTGGCATTCGCTGTGCTGTTTTTCGCCGTTTGTTTTCGCCCAAAAACCCGTTCGCTAAAATGTTTTTTGCTGAACGGACATCGGTTCTTATTATCTATCTCTAATCTTCTTTGTTTACATTATTTATAGTCACTCTCAAGATTTAGTCAACAACATCGAAATACCTTGGTTTTGTGATAGCTATACTCACCCTTCTACCTCACTCTGCACATCTTCGTTTTGGCTGGCGCTTTTTTTCTTCATATCTTTTAGGTTACAGTTTATGTAACTGATATATATTCAAGCACAGAAAGCTATCTTGTCTATATCAGTTGGTTTTACTTTTCGTTTATTTAATTACTCATACGCTGATATAGCTTCTTTTGTCGAAATTTTCACCTCTTTTTTGTAGTTATACATACCAATCTACTAATTGTTTACCATCTCAGACATACAGAATACAATATCCAAGAAGCTTTTGTTTCAACAAATTAGATCATCATCAAGAATGACAACTGTACGATCAGACTCGCTATCTAGTGATCGCTCGGTTTCTTCGATAAATACTATTTCCAATGAAACCATGCCCATTTTATTCAGAAACCATGAAACGAGTTTATGTCAACGAATTATTGATTCTTTCAAGCGTGCATCGTCTACAGAAAATATTTCTTTCGAAACAAACGGATCAAAATCATCAGAATTTCAGGACCATGAGCTGAAAAGAGGATCTGGTTTACATCGTTCACTAAAAAATCGACATTTACAGATGATTGCTATAGGTGGATCGATTGGGAACGGCCTCTTTGTTGTTTCAGGTTCAGCACTTGCAAATGGTGGGCCTGCTGCATTGATTTTTAATTTTATTATTACTGGTTTCATGCTCTTCAATGTGGCTATGACACTCGGAGAGCTCAGCGTTGCTTTCCCTGTCTCTGGTTCATTTGCCAGTCACAGTTCTCGGTTTCTCGATCGTTCCTGGGGATTTGCTATGGGCTGGAACTATGCTATGAATTGGTTGATTGCTTTACCAATCGAACTAACATCAGCTGGACTTATCATCAACTACTGGACAAAATCTGTTAATATTGCCGTATGGATCACTATTTTGCTAGTGACACTTCTAATTATCAATCTGTTCGGTGTTCGTGGTTATGGTGATATTGAATTCTTCATCTCGATTATTAAAGTGATTGCCGTTATTGGATTTATTATTCTAGGAATTGTGCTTGTGTTCGGTGGTGGTCCGAATCACGAATATATAGGAGGAAAATATTGGCATGATCCAGGCCCATTTGCTCATGGATTCAAAGGGGTGTGTTCCGTTTTTGTTACTGCAGCTTATGCCTTTTCAGGTACAGAATTAGTTGGATTGGCTGCGGCTGAAACGGCGAACCCTCGCAAGACTATTCCTCGAGCGACCAAGCAAGTCTTTTGGAGAATATTAATATTCTACATTGCATCGTTGACACTTATTGGGTTTTTAGTGCCTTATACAGACTCACGACTTCTTAATAAATGGTATGTATTGAAAAGACCAATAGAGAAAGAATCGAAGGGTAAAAAGCATTGAGTCAATGAAAAATTATACTTGATGAAAACAGCAGTTAATATTGATTATTAGTGATATCTCAGAAGGTTCGACACTTCTATTTTCGACCTCTTTTTAGTAATGCCAATGCATCTTCAACTTCTGATACGTCTGCCTCACCCTTTGTAATTGCTATTGACGAAGCACGCATCAAAATATTACCTTCGATCTTCAATGCCGTCATTCTTTGTGCTGTTCTTTCAGTTGGCAATTCTTCTGTTTATGGAGCATCTCGAACGCTGTGTGCACTTGCGGAAAATGGTCACGCACCGAAGATACTCGCTTATATTGATCGTAAAGGACGACCACTCTGCTCTATTGCTTTGTCAATACTATTCGGATGCGTTGGTTACATTAATTGTGCAGATGTTGGCCCCAAAATACTCAATTGGCTAGTCGCTCTTTCAGGCTTATCTTCTTTCTTTACTTGGGGATCCATATGTGCATGTCATATTATGTTCCGATTAGCATGGAAAGCTCAGGGTCATACTCTAGACGAGCTAAGTTTCGTTGCACCATTGGGTATAGTGGGAAGCTGCTTCGGTCTTCTATTAAACATTTTATGTTTGGTTGCTCAATTCTATACAGCTCTATTTCCTATTTGCTCTACTGCAAGTGTCACAGAATTCTTTCAATCCTATCTTGCTGCTCCAGTTGTCATTGTCTTCTATATCGTATGGAAAATATGGAAAAAAACACCTTTCTTATATCCCACTACCATAGATCTCGTTACTGGAAGATGTCACATCGACACAAGAGAGCGGACTGCTGAAGAAAGAAACGAACGCATGGCATGGCCCATGTTGAAAAGAATCTATTTCCAGTTCTGCTAAACTAATATCCAATGAATATGACGGAAACAGAACATATTTTTCTTTCATCTAGTATTATTTATTTAAATGAATTCTCTTTTCATATAAGTCACATTATTATAGATATTTTTAAAAATATCAACTATCGTGGATAACTATTTCTTAAGGCCTCCCCTCCTCCTCAAAAAATGCCCGTTTTCATCAAAAAATTCGAAATTGAGATAATTGCATGGAAAGATAGCCCGTCTTCAGATCTTTCGGAAACAATATGATTTTTAAGGCGACATCCCCGTTTCGGACAACATTTTTGATGATTTCCGTTAATGTCTTCTTGAAAAATATGCTTATTTCGAAAGAAACGAAAAATGTTTTTCATTTTCTCTCGGTTTATGATTTTTTGATCTTGGTACAAGGATTTCTCAGTCCAGGCCCAGTAAATATATTTAAACTTTTTTTTTGTTTGAAAGAGCACGTCAAGATGCAGTGCAGTACAGAGTTCTTTTTTTAAATTACGCTTGATTTTTATTATATATGCAGACATAGACACTCATTTTTGGCGCGTTTTTTGAGTCATTGAACTTGTGATTCTTTTCCCGCTAAAAAGGTATGAATTTAGAAAAAAGGACTGTACTGCACTGCATCCTGAGATGCTCTTTCAAACAAAAACAAAAATTAAATATATTGAAAGAGCCTGGACAAAGAAAAATGGATTGCCAAATGAGCTATTTTTTACCTTTGTTTGGTTCATATCTCTGTCAAATATTAGGGTATCGAGCTGAAAATTTTACCACAGCCTCCTCACTTCAGCCCCAACATATGCTCTAAGTTACAGCCCATTTGAACTTTTCTGGGCTGAGATCGATTTTTGAGGTGGGGGGGGGGGGGGGGGGGGGGGAAGAGGAGAGGCCTTAAAACTAAATAATAAACTGTTTGGTTTAAGCGATTATAAAACATTAAGAATTGAATCTAACTATTGAAAATTCCAAGTTCACTATCATTAATCGTTCCAATTTTTTGCAGATTGAGGGTGGAGGTGAGGGTAAGTCTAGCAACCATGCTCTTGAGCGTGTGGGTGTGGGT